CAACTATAATAATAATAAAATATTAATAACAAAATATTAATCTGCCTAAATATTGAAGTTTATATTTTTATTTTTATTTATTTTTTATTTTATTTCTCTGTATTTATTCAATATTTCTTTAGTAGCTAAAATCTGATGTAGTGTAGTAGCATTAAAAAAATGAGTTAAAAATGTCGTTGATTTTGTTTCTATTAGAAATCATAATGACGCTTGTGTATATTTGATTATGGTTATTTCTTAGCTTTAACTTTCATTGGAGCAAAGAAAACGAAAGTTGAATTGGTGGCTCTATAGATCTAGAGGTAGTATAGTTCAATGTTTGCATCATCATCTCTTTCTATGGGCTGCTCTTAGTTTTTATACTCGTCTCCAGATAAGATAAAGTGTCTAATCTGAAATGTGAAAACCTACATATTGTTTCTTTGACTAATTCTGTTTGTGGTGCTGTCTCGTGTGTCTTATCTCAGCTATGTCGGTATGTTGTATGGGAATCGCTGGAGATCTTCTGGATCGTGGCTGCCAAGTGACAGGCACTTCCGCTCTGTTGCTGTTGCCGTTGCTTTTGCAATTCCAGTTGCACTCTCGCCTTTGGCAGCAGCATTAACTTTGAGGCACTTTTTATTTTCGCTCTTGGGGTCATTTGTTGTGGTGCGCGTGGCTCCACCCAAGCCGTCAATCAATTAACGACGCATCGGAGGGGAAGCCAAGCGAAAATTTGTTTCAAAACGGCAATTAATAAGATCTATTGACTTTTTGTTGCTTTTCTTTTCGTTCTTTCCGATGGAAAATTTGAAATGAAAAGCTCAAATATTCATAAAAACAGAGCAGAGCAGAACGAGAAAAAGATTTTTCGGTGGTCTCTGCGAACCGAGCGTTGTACATTGACCCAAATTCGATGCCTCCCCTTGATGCGTATTTGTTGGACGAGTGTCTGGTACTTCCTTCTGCTGACCCTAGGCACAGTATGTATGCCCCACTCCCTCCCCCTCTCTGTCTGTTTCTTTTGCTGTCTCTGCTCGCCCCACACGCAGCAGCACGCCCCAATTGCTGCAGCTGGTGCCAAGAAAATGCGTCGTTGCTTAATTTCCACACGCACACACACACATACACACACGCACACACTGTTGAATGTGTGTTGACTCCCCGCGTCCGTTCGACACTTTATCGGTCTTAAGAGTGCAGCGACATCGCGGCGGGCGCAGCCTCCAACCCCCAGCCAGCAATCCCCCCGCATATTCAAATTTAATTTTTCGAAAATTAAAAGCACGTAAATTTTAATGTCCACTTATGTGCGTGTGCATGTGTGTGTATGTGTGTATTTGTGTCTGTGTGTAGGCGCATCAACAACAAATGCTTTGCGATTTATATTTTTAGGTTTTCTTGTCACTTTCAATATTTGGGCTTTTTGATGTCATATGCGCGACCAGCGACAACAACAACAATGTCAACAGCAACAACAACAAGGTTCGCCT